GGACGTGGCATTGTCAAAACAGGAAAGGGCCATCCCCAAACAGATGCTGCAAAGCTGGAAGATCACTATTGTCAACAATGCCAGTGTATGCTGTAGAATTAAGATTTCCCTTAAATGTAAGTAAGAGGTCCAAACCTACAGAAAAATGTCAGGGATGTCCACATACTTTTGGCCACATGGTGTATTGTAAATGGCAGTAAAGCACACCTTAGTATGTGACAGTACATTATGTAAAGAGCCACCTCTAGAGGAGAATCTGCAAATAGCAGACAGGGAGCAAGATAGAAGATTAAAGTTCAATGGACACTTTTGATATTAAACAATGATTATTAATATTTAAATTGTAATTTATATAAACAACCTACCCAGCTTCAGCTCAACTGCCTCAACACGATGCATGCTAACATATATCTTTAAACATATGCAAAGTACCTACATTTATTTTTAAATTCTGCACTTTATTTTAACTGGATTATACTTAACATTTTAGCTGCAAAATGCTAATAAAATATACAGTTTAAACTCTCCATCAGTTCACATTCAAGGTGTTTGTCAGATCTACAACAATAGATGAAAGCATGACTTAGTGTTTCTCAGGGATAATATCACAACCTTTACTTCAGTAAAAGCCCTGAGCCTGTTTCCACCATTTTTTTCTGTAGTTGAAAATTATACCACTGGCCATGATGTATGACACAATTAGGAAGTTTGTAATCAGCTTAAAAACATGATATTAAACATGCAGACAAAGTAAGCTGAGGAGCTTCAACCGCCACTACATCCCTGGTTAGCAGGATGAAGGCGCCCTCTTGTGTTGTGCATCAGTTTACACATTTCAGTTGTTAACCTGCTTTGATGTCCACTGCAGGGAGACATGCACAAACTTTGCTGAACCTTTGGCAGTTTCAAACATCAGTAAAGAGAGATTTAAATGTTAGTTTGTTCACACTGATGTTGCATTCAGGTCACATGGGAAAAATAGAGTTTTGAGGTTACAAATATTATTATTTATACTTTTTGACTTCTGATTAAACAACATGGAAATACTTGTATAGAATCACACTTTTAAGTCATGATTTTATACATGAACCTGAAATAGGCTGCACATTTTCCATATGTTGTTGGAATCGACTCTCTCACCGGTTAAGTTACGACTGAGAAAACGTTTCAGGAACAACATGAATTATCACCAACCACAAATGATTATTTCTTGATTTAAAATGAGACTGAACTTGTTGTTTTCAGACGTTGAGTCTTTTTGATGTTTTTTCTGATTCAACTGTGATTGGTGCGAGCGGCCAGGGGGCAGGGCAGAAGCTGAGCAGGAAACCTCAAGCTAGTGGTCTGGAGTCAAGACAGGTGGGTGGAGCAGGTCCAGAGTATGACCAGGAGGAAGGGCCGAAGGACAGAGCACCTCTGAATGACGGCCAGGATGCTGGTAATGTAGCTGGAGCAGCTCCGGAGAACAGGCAGAGGGGGCAAGACAGTTCTGGAGGCCAGCTGGGAATGCGCAACCCCTCTGGAGGCCGGTGACAGGACTGCAACACTGGAGGGCAATGACACGGTGTTCAGCAGGGGAGCCAGTGGAGCCAGGGAAACACAGACTGCTGGAACACAGGAACTGGGCACTGCTGCAATACAGGAACTGATCATTCCTGTAGTGCGGAATGAGTCGGCTGAGCAACGGACTGGGGACCAGGTAGGGCTGGTGGCAGCTCTGTGGTGCTGGGCAAACTGAGAGGCATGACAACAGTGAGAGGCACTACGATGGAGAGAGCCACGCTTCCTTCTGTAGGGCTTCCCAGAAGGTGTACTCAGTTTTGTTGCCAGCAGTTCAATGGATGAGTGAAGTTATTTTGTTATTTTGAGGGGAAAGCAAATTTACAAATTTATACAAGCAGTGCACTCACTACTTTACATTGTAAAGTATCCTAAATGTGGAGTTCTGAACCCAAACTGGAACCTGGTTCCACAAGAGAGGTCATGTTCTACTTTGGAGACTCTAGGAACCACAAGTAACCCTGCATCCTGGGAGTGCAGTGCTCTGTGCAGTGCTCTGGTGGGGTAGTAAGGTACTATGAGCTCTTGGAGATAAGATGGTACCTGACCATTAGGGGTTTTGTAGGTGAGCAGAAGGATTTTAAATTCCATTTTGGATTTTACAGGAAGCCAGTGCAGTGAAGTTACGACAGGAGAAATATGATCTCTTTTCTTGGCTCCTGTCAGAACGTGTGCCGCAGCATTCTGGATCAGTGGAAAAGTTTAAACGGACATATTCGACCAGCCAGTTTTGGGCAGTAACAGTAATAATATTAGTTTACCCAGTAACTAATAGTGTATCTAATTACTTTTCTAAAACATTAACATTATTACAGTTACTAATACAAGTAAGGGTGCGTTACTGAACGCACCATCCTTGACGTGAATGCGCGACTGTGCAGCAGGTCAGCGGCACCGGACATTCTGTTCATGTCAGCCAAAAACTAAACAAAAAATGGAGAACGAAGGAGAGCGTCCTCTCCACAGCTCAAAGTAGCTGCTGCCACTATTGTGTCACAGTCTAAGATGAAAAGAACATTGTCATCTATTGTAAACTCTGTGCGACCAGCAAAAAGCTTTCAACCACAAACATTTCTACATGAAGCAGCACAGTTATGCTAAACCTACAGAAACGAGCATACATACACATACATACTGTCATTTGTAAGTATGTATGTATGCGCCAGGTGAGTATGTATGTATGCGCAAGGTGAGTATGTATATATGCGCCAGGTGAGTATGTATATATGCGCCAGGTGAGTATGTATATATGCGGCAGGTGAGTATGTATATATGCGGCAGGTGAGTATGTATATATGCGGCAGGTGAGTATGTATATATGCGGCAGGTGAGTATGTATATATGCGCCAGGTGAGTATGTATATATGCGGCAGGTGAGTATGTATATATGCGGCAGGTGAGTATGTATATATGCGGCAGGTGAGTATGTATATATGCGGCAGGTGAGTATGTATATATGCGGCAGGTGAGTATGTATATATGCGGCAGGTGAGTATGTATATATGCGGCAGGTGAGTATGTATATATGCGCCAGGTGAGTATGTATATATGCGGCAGGTGAGTATGTATATATGCGCCAGGTGAGTATGTATATATGCGCCAGGTGAGTATGTATGTATGCGCCAGGTGAGTATGTATGTATGCGCCAGGTGAGTATGTATGTATGCGCCAGGTTAGTATGTATATATGCGCCAGGTGATGAATGTATGTATGTGCAAGCGAGTATGTATGTATGTGCATGACAGTATGTATGAATGTATTTATGTGAGAGCAAGAATGTATGTATTTGCAAAGGAAGTATTCAATTTTTCTCATAATTATCAACGGTGATGGCTACATAGTGATGTTCAAATTTTTACTAGGTGTATTTAAAATCATATTTGATTGAGGAGCTGTACTGAGGAGCATATATTTGTGCAGCACCTCCTCTCGCTCGCTTGTTCACTCCCTCTTTCTCTCTCGTGAACACCGCTGCACAAACCTGTCCAAAGTTAGCCACACTGAAATTCTGTGGGAAACACTGGAAAGTAATATAGTAACGTAATATAACGAGTCATGTAACTAGTTACTTTTATCACCCAGTAATAAGTGAAGTAATAATATTACTTTTTTAAGGACTAATAAGTGACTACGAATATATTACAATTTCTGAGTAACTTGCCCAACACTGGAAGTAACAAATGCATGGACTTGTTTTTCTGCATCATTTTGAGACAGGATGTTCCTGATTTTTGCAATATAACGTAGGTGAAAAAAAGCGGTCCTTGAAGTTTGCTTAATGTGAGAGTTAAAGGACATTTCCTGATCAAAGATAACTCTGAGATTCCTCACAGTGGTGCTGGAGGCCAGGGCCTATCTATCTGGCATATCTAGCAGCAGTGTTGGGCATGTTAATCAGAGATTGTTATAAGTTACTTTTTACTTATTACTCCTTTAAAAAGTTATAATATTACTTTACTTATTACTGGGTATTAAAAGTAATTAGTAACATTACTCATTACGGTACTGTTACTTTCAATCCCCCACACCACCCCCACCCCATCCTTAAAAGTGATGGAAAACCTGTTCAGCAGCTCATTTTAGAAATGAATCCACTTTCCTGGAACAATAGTTTACCTGAGGACTCAACAACCAGCTGAACTGAAAAGACTGCAGCCTCTCAGACCAGATCCTGCTGTACAGTAGGATATAGGGTCTGGTTATAATTAAAAATAATAAAAAAACAAAGCAAGTCTCTTCCGATTGTTTTAACTAATAGCACATTCATAACAGTAGCAAAGAGTTTTGTTTTTTTTCACAACATATAACGTTTCTTAACTCTACTGGCTGAGATAAAAAAATAAAGCAAGTCTCTCAGGACTTTTAAACTAACGTTACTGTTTTGCATATGCATAAGAGAAGTATTCAGTACTTTTACAAAACACAAAACGTTGCTTAACGCCACTCTCTCCTGGCGAGTGGATGGTTCACTGGCAGTAATGGCCGCACTTTCTTTCTATAGGCTAAGTTTCACATCGCTGGGCTGCTTTATAATAATAAATAATAATGCATTTTATTTGTAATGCACTTTACATTTGGAACAAATCTCAAAGTGCTACAGGTAAGATCATAAAAGCAAGGTAAAAACATCAATATCCAGTGTGCTGAAGACATATGCTTTGATAAATTTGATGTTGAATTGTTTGCGGCTGAAAGCTTTTTGCTGGTTGCACAAAGTTTACAACGGATGACAATGTTCTTTGCATCTTAGACTATGGCACAACAGGCTTAATGGCAATACTTAAAGTTGTGGAAAGAACATCTCTGTCCCTTGTACTCCATTTTCCCTTTAGCTTTTTGGCTAACAGCTGACTTGAACAACATAAGGTGCAGTGCCGCTGACGTGCTGCACAGTCGCGCAAGTTAAATTAATATGCAAATGAAACACAAACAAACAGATCCAACTCTGAAATGACAGTTTAGTATTGAAGTAAGAATTTACAAACATGGCGAAATCTACCTTAATTACAATGGTTGATACAGTTTTCTGACCGGTTTTGTCCCCTGAATGCGTGCGCATCCAGGAGTGTTTGTATACAAGAAACCCGTGTATTAAATGGTGCTTAAACAAATGCACGAACTGGAAGTGGCAATGGTGTTTTATTTGTGGATATGTCTCAGCAAATTCTATGTTTTAAGTGCTGCATTAAGGTGTTGTGTTTAAACTGTGCAGTGCCAGTTGTTTCAGCAAACACATCTAGTGTAGGTCTAGCAGATAAGGTGGCCTTGCCTTACACTTTACAAGATATAGCCTACAGAGTTTGTTCAAATGTTCAAATGATTATATTTGTAATGCACACACCTTCACTGAACATGAACATAAGTTTCAATGAAATTAAGGAGACCTGTAATACAAAAGTCCAAAAAGCACTCCTATAGCCTACAAAAAAAACTATTGATTATGAGGTTCACTCAGTGGTGTTCAGAAAGCAAACAGCACTAAAATAAACACATCTATCTTTCAATAATTTCTATAAGATATATTTTAATGTTTTTTAGCCAATAAAGTAAATACAGTTCTTAACAGTGACTTGTCATAAACATATGTTTCTCAGAGAAACAGAGAGAGAGACACGGACACGGTGGATGCTAGATTCTCCTGCTTGCTAGCTTTTTATCGCTGTGGCTAGTCAAGCTGACAATTAACTTTTTTCTTCTCAAAATACTTCTGCACATGGACAAATAGTTGAAAATTTCTTTTTGCTAGCCGGTGGTATAGCCAGTAGCCCTGAATGAGAAGTTGCCTACCACCCATAATGTTTGACTGACAGGTGACCTCTGTGCAGTGAAGAAATGCCACAACAATCAGCTCTCAGCAACAAACATGAAAACAAATAAAGTTTAAGGATTAAAACACAGAATTTAACTCAGTTTCTTATATGACTTCTGACTATTTCAGTCTACAGAACTCAGCAGTGCCTCCATAACCAAAAGGCCAGAGTCCAGCATAGAGAGGCTGAGTGAATGTGGTCTGGACTCTGTGGAGGAGAGTCATGGTTTCAGAGACGCTGTAGAAGGACAGAATACCTGCTCTGTGATCCAGGTACACTCCTATTCTGGAGGACCGAGGACCTGAGACGGGAGTTTGGACATTTTTGTACAAAAAATTACAATTAGTTTTTTCACATCTTAATGCCCAAGATTTGTCATTGAATCCAAATCTACATTCATCTGACCATGCTCTGCTGATATTCTTGTATGCGACTGCTACATAACCTCCTCCTCTCCACTCCACCTCCCAGTAACAACGTCCAGTCAGACTCTCTCTACTCAGGACCTGAGATCTATAACTGAATCTGTCTGGATGATGAGAATACCACTGTTCTTCTCTCATTAATGTTGCCTTTCTGTTCCCCTCAGATAATAACAGCAGTGTGTTTGCTGTGTTTGGATCCAGTGTGATTTCACGTGAATATTTTAAGAACTCAGCTCTGGTCTTGGGCTCTGGTTGTGACAGTAAAACATCCACTTTTCTCCCTGTCAGTGAGATGTCTGTCCATTTCTCACTCAGAGCGTCCTGTAGTTTGTCTCTGACTTCTGACACAGCCGCTGTCACATCCTCAAAGTAGCGCAGAGGACGTTTCTTGATGCTGGATGAGTCTGTAGATTCACTGAGTGCTGACACTGAGGGGTAGTTGTGTAGAAACTGGTTGTGATCCTCTGTGTGTGAGAGCTGCTTCAGCTCAGCGTCTTTCCTCTTCAGCTCAGTGATCTCCTGCTCCAGCTTCTCCTGAAGCTCTTTGACTCGACTCACTTCAGTTTCCTGCTGGGATCTGACCTGCTGCTTCACATCAGAGCGTCTTTTCTCCATGAGACGGATCAGCTCGGTGAAGATCTTCTCACTGTCCTCCACTGCTTCATCAGCAGAGTGATTGATAGCCTCCACCTCCTGCTGAAGCACCTTCACATCTTTCTCTCTGTCCTGGATTCTCTGCTGGATGTTTTGTCGACTCACCTCGAGCTCTCTCTGCCTCTCAGTCCTTTCTGCTGCAGCTGAGACTGTGTCGTGGCCTTTATGTTCATCCACAGAGCAGAGATAACAGATACTCTGCTGATCAGTACGGCAGAACATCTTCATCACCTCATCATGACGAGAGCAGATGTTCTCCTGGAGCTTTTTGGAGGGCTCCACCAGCTTGTGTTTCTTGAATGGAGCCACCTCATCATGACGCTGGAGGTGTTTCTCACAGTAAGAAGCCAGACATACCAGACAGGACTTGAGGGCTTTCAGTTTTCTCCCAGTGCAGACATCACAGGCCACATCTTCAGGTCCAGCATAGCAGTGATCAGCAGGAGCAGCTTGGAGTCCAGTCTTCTTCAGTTCCTCCACTAAAACTGCTAACATGGTGTTTTTCAGCAGGACAGGCCTCGGTGTGAAGGTCTGCCTACACTGAGGACAGCTGTGGATTCTCTTCTCCTCCTCTTCATCCCAGTGGGTTTTAATACAGTTCATGCAGTAGCTGTGTCCACAGGGAGTAGTCACCGGATCCTTCAGTAAATCCAGACAGATGGAACAAGAAAAAGCTTCCTGGTCCAGCTGAACTCCTTTCTGCGCCATTTCACCTCTCAGTGGCAATGACTGTCTGAGTTTCACTTTCTTAGAAGTGAAACTAGTTTGAGCTCTGATCTAAAAATCACGTGTTTATGCAGTGAATGAGGTCTGTCAGCTGTTGCACTTCCCCACATGTTGGTTACACCCATCATTAAACTTTAGATCTGAAGGGGAGGGAAAAAGGAAATATATAGACAGAGGGGAGTTCGCTGTGAAAAGCAGAAAGAAGAGGGAGGGGTTATCAAGCTCCAGGAAGAGGAGCAGCTCTGCATTTATACTTCACTGACAAAAAAGCCTTGGTTAAAACCTTTTCCCTGTTTGAAATTAAATTGAGTCCAAAAGAAACCAAACCACTTTTTTAAAAACATGGGTGATTGGAAGTGTTAATAAAGGAGGAAGAAAAACCTCCAGTCAGTGAGAATCAGAAGCCAAACAACCTCTAATAAAAGCAATAATTTCATCTTTTTGATTTCAAATGATGCAATCCTAGAATGTGTGTAACAGGTGAGGTGTCAGAGATGAGGGCTCTCAACACAGCTGCATCACAAGCTGCCATATTTATCACTTTTGTTATAGTCTTTGTAAACCAATGAGTTTAACCTCCAAGACTCCCACTTTAACTTCCCACAGTGTGCTGACGATATGGCCCTGGTTGGCCTTCTGTGTGAGAGGAATTCTGCAAGAGATGGCACATACTTTAATCGTGCAGTTTCTCTGCAGCAGTGGTGTGAAAAGAGATTGTTAAATAAATGTAGATGAAACCAAAGAACTTATCAAATCCAGCAACAAACATTAATAAATTACACCCCTTGAACATCACTGGATCCACTGTAGAAACTGCCAGTACTTTAAATATCTAGGAGCTGTGATTGGTGACCGCCTTAACTTCACACAGAGAGCTAACTATATTTTTAAGATTGTATCTGCACTTTTGGTGCTTTGACACCATTGTCAAACCATTGACACCATGATGTGTGACACAATGCTCTTTTACTAGAACACTTTTTTCACTAAAAGTGCAGACAAAGTGAGCTGAGGAGCTTTTACCTCCACAACATCACTGGTTAGCAGGATGAAGGCGCCCTCTTGTCTTGGGCATCAGTTTTTACATTCCAGTTGTTAACCTGTTGTTCACTTTACTGTGCCTTTGGCAGCTTCGACAACAGTAAAGAGAGAGTTAAATACCCAGAGTAAACATCTTTTGCTCAGAATAGTCTTTTCTCTCTCAATATCTTTTTGAGATCACTTCAATCTAAACTGTTGCTCCTAAACCCCCCCTAGGAAAAGAGATAAGGAGAGATTGAGTTTTCGAGACTTCGGTAATACAAATGCATACTGAATTGAGATTACAATAGGAGAAATGGAAGTAATCAATGAGATCTCATCATTGTATTTTTTTTAGATCACTTCAAACTGAATTATTGCTCCTAAAGCCCCCTTAGGAGAAAAGATGAGATAAGGAGAGATTGAGGTTTTGAGACTTGGGTAAGACAAATAGATATTGAATTGAGATTACAATAGGAGAAATGGAAGAGATCTCGTCATTGTTTCATTTTGAGTTTATTAATGTCTTGTTTAATAGTCCTAAAAAGCAGTTAGGAGCACTAGGGAGAAGTCAGTGAGCTTGATTGCATTGCATTATGGTCTATGCTTGGGGAACCTTACTGGAGGCTCGTCCTGAGCTGGATTTAAACCCAGGTGCTGCTGTTCAAAGGGCAACAAATTGATGAATTAATTTCTAAACATCATGTCAAAGTGGTGGGTGTTCTAGTCATGCTGGCTGCAAGTACCTTAACAAATTGGAAAACATGAAATTTGAAAGTGCATTATTTTTAATGACAAAATATATTTTACTATTCTTCTCAGTAACTTGTAGTTCAGATAAACAGCAATAAACACAACAAGTACAAGACAGGATTTGAAATTCAGGTGAGTAAAACTTTAAAGCCAATAAAAAAGAAAATACTCAAGCTGAAATACCTCAACATTTGACTTAAGTAAAGTATTTGAGTAAAATAACTTTATTTCCTTTATTTCGGCCCGGCTGACGGTGAGTGTCCTGGTTTTTTCTCCTTTTCTTCAGTTATTCCCCGCTTCCTCTGCCCCAGTGTTCCCCGGCTCCCTGATCCCAGTCCCGTCGGTTTCCCTATGCCAGTGTTTCCCCGGCATCCACCTCTCCCTCCACTCCAGTCCCTCAACCCCCTTTTCCCTCAATAAACCTCCTTCGCTCTGAGCGCTGCATTTGGGTCCTCTCTGTCCCCGCACCACACCACTCGTAACAATTTCCCACCCCTAAGTGGGGTCACTAAGACAAAACAGACATAACTTGGAGACTTTTTTTCTGATCCACACTCTGGATACTTAAATTAAAATTAGATTAGTTAGAGATCTCATCTTTTGATTACAGTAAGACACAGATGAGTTATTTGCTCCTGAGGTCACTGAGAAAACTAAGACATACTTCAGAAGAATCATGAGATCCCAAAAGTCATAGCTGAGTTTTCCTTGAGCTCTTTCTCTGATCTCATGGTCCCATGTTCAGGAGACTTATTTAAGATAATTTAGAGATCTCTTGTGTTGATGAGAGTAAGACATAAATGAGATTGTATAAGGTTGTTTCTTGATATATTGTGAACTGAACTGAATTTGAGAAGTAGGAGAAGAAGAATTTAGTTTTACCTTAGTATTAAAACTAACTCATTTGTGTCTAGGAGAAATAACAACTATGGGATCTCTTCTTGGATTTTGCTTTACTATGTGTAATATCATATTGTGTCAGTTTCTTCACACTGATGCTGTATTCAGGTCACATGGGAAAGATGGTAGAGAAGAGTTTCCAGGTAACAAATATTATTCACACCAGCTCTCAGGTTGGAAATCGTATTTGGGATTATGAGATTTCAGGCTGTCATGGTTTGGTTGTTTATCCTTGTTCATGCTATTCTCAAGTTTTGTAGTTATTTTTTACCTTGTCTGCCCTGTGTTTCTGTGTTTTGGGATTCAGTCCTGTTTGTTTTGTTGTCTTGTGTTCAGTCTGCCTGTTTCCTGTTCTGTCTAGCTTAGTTTAGTCTTGTTTAATATATTGATAGTTTGTTACCTCTGTCTGTTTAATTGTACTTTTGTTTATGGTCTGTGTCTGCTTGTGTTTATGATAATTTTGGTAGACTCATTCTTTTGATCTGTTCCGTTTTAGTTTCATGGTCTGTCTTTCCATCCTGTTTATCACTCCGCCTGTCTGTGTCTGTTCTGCTTGATTAGCCCTTCATGTATTTCACGTGTAACGCCTCCCTACTCGTTTGCCCAGGTATTTAAGTCCTTAGTTCTGTTCTGTCTTTGTTGTGTCCTCGTCATTAGTTGAGTGTGCCTGTTTCTGTGTTCATTGGATTATTCTGCTCTGTTGCATCGACTGTTTTTGGATTTCGTTAGGTTTGTTGGAACGCTGCTTTGGTTTGGACTTTGCCTCATTCTCATGTAAGCCTGTTTTTGTTTAAAGAGGTGGTTTTATACTTTTTGCCTTTTCCTTTCTCCTTTATTGAGTTATATACCTTTTTTATGCATGTAATAGGTTTGCAAAGTAAAAAAGCCCAAAGTCCAGACCAAAGAGAGTTCCCATCTCCCACAGAAAACACCACTGTGAACTGCCTGAAAAACAAATGCGCGCCATATAACTAGTCCGGTAGTCCGACACGCCCTCAAAAACACCAGTGGAAAAACACAGAGCTGCAGCACACACCTCTCCTCTCCTTTCCTAACACTAGCTACCCTCAAAGGCAGTCATAAAGTTGTTACTGTGATGTAGAGACAGTGCTCAGTTAAAACTTTATGGATGAAAGATACATCTTAATGAAAGATACATTAAGAACTCACCACTCTGAAACTCTTGCTTCAGTGTATGATGCCAAGCTGGTCGGCAACATGTACAGCTGAACCAAAGCCTTGTTTACCAGCTTCTCACATACCCGCCCTTCTCTGCTTCTGATTGGCTAGTAGTCCTTAACTAGGAACTGCAGATGAACTCCCAACAAAAATCATTTAGAGATAAGATGTATCACTCCGTAACTAAACCGAAGTGATCAACACAGGGTGAAAAGAGGAGCTACAGCAATGTGCAGTATGACAAAAAATATGAATGAAACCATGTAAACCTGTTCTGGTACAACCCCTAAAGAGGACTTTGAACCTGAAAATGAACAGAATACCACCTCTTTAATAAATCACACTAACTTCAGGACCAACATAAATTGCCAGGATGCTGGTAAAGTAGTTGGAGAAGCTCTGGAGGACAGGCAAAACAACTATGGAGGCCGGTGGAGAACCTCTCTGGAGGCCGGTGACAGGGCAGCAGGACTGGAGGGTAACGACACAGAGTTCAGCAGATGAGATAGTGGAGCGAGGGAAATGACAGACTGCAGGAACACAGGAACCGGGCACTGCTGAGGCTCTGGAAGAATGAGGACCAGGACCATGGAGGACTGGTAGCAGCTCTGCGGTGCGGGCAAACTGAGTGGCACAACAATAGTGAGAGGCACTATGATGGTGAGAGCATAGACTGTAAATAAAAATGGACGTAGTGTCCGTGACATCACAGGTTAATTTCCCGAATTGCCCCTGGCTGTTCCGCTAGTGTGTGAATGTTAGTTTCTGTTTGAGCACTTAGGCTCAGTGTGTTAATGATGAATGCAGATGTAGTGTAAAAGTGTTTTGAGTGGTCGAAAAGACTAGAAAGTCGCTATACAAATATGGAGCATTTCCCGTTTTGTTGTTGAGACCAACGTTAACAGTTAAATATAATTCGGTTATTGATTACATTAATGTTCACTTACATCTCAAAACAAACAATTTGAAGCAAATCAAGTAACCCTTTTTACATAACGTTAGTTAGGAGTCGTTATAAGCTAGCGGCAGAGTCCTGTATCCAGAGTCCGATAGCTGGCTTCTATCACGTTAATTAATTCCCCACACCGCTATTTTGAGTAACGTTGCTGCTGTCGGCAGGGCTGTGTGAGATTATTGTCTGGAATAGGACACTTGAGAGAGAAAGGTACTT